TTCACCATTGCTCCGACAGTGACAATTCTCTTCCGTGTCCCTTTCTAGCTCCTACACAGTCGTCTTTCTCACGGGAACTCCCTTATCAGAGTTTGTTTTGTTTTTCGCTCTTTACATTTACTCTCTTTACAAACATGTGGTTGAGATTGGCAACAAAATCTACGTCTTCTTTTCCCAAAAAATAGAAAGCGTACATGAGCAGCTACTAGTGCTTCTTTTTTGTGATGATCGTGGTCGTTCCCATATCTTCTCTACAAATAAAGTACGAGTCGAAGGGTATGAGGGGCGAATCAGCTTTTTGACTATCCGATTTCGATACCTGCCATGGCTTCGGCTTCTTCCTTCAAAACATACCAGTAGCATATGGCATGGCAAGTAGGGACGTCGACCGAAGAAAGTTGTTTCTATTTCCATAACTGCGGAACGATGGCAGCCTATATGGGCAGCCGGCTAATAGTCGCTTCAGTCGGTTATGTAGTAGTTTTGGGTATTTTGGATCTTTACGAATGGAATATGGACTAATACGTGACCATAAACGACAGGAACGACACGGATGTGAGCTGAGGCGGCGGCGCTCACGAAATCGCGTTTGTCCCGCGCGAGCGAAAAGCGGAAAAAGATCGTGAATGTGTTGAAGTTCAAAAAAAAATAATCCAACTTCTTAAGGTTGAGGCTCCAGAAAGAGCTGTTTAGGTTTTTTGGCATGGGAAATCTATTGATTATCGCAGAATTTCTTTCAATACATTTCCTGGAGTGATGAACCGATTGTTGAAGGTTTAGGCTGGTGTCAGAGTCCGCGATCCGTCGCAGGTTTCGCTGATTTTCGCGATTTGCGCGATTTGCGCGAAACCTGCGACGGATCGCAAAAATTGCAAGTGCCCCATTTGAACATTTGAAACACTGAATATGAAACAAGTGGAATCATGAGCAGTCGTCATTCAGCCATCACTATCAAGCAGAAGTGGCGGCAGGATTGGAGAACACCTTGCAGTATTGATCGGGCACTTGTGATTTCCGTGACCCGTCGCGTGAATCGCGCAAATCGCGAAAATCAGCGAAACCTGCGACGGATCGCGGACTCTGACACCAGCCTAAGGTTTTTCTGGCATGGAAAATCTATTGATTATCGCAGAATTTTCTCAAGACACTTCCTGGAGTGATCGACCGGTTATGGAAGGATTTGCTCTGGGTTTGATCACCATCATTACAACCTTTACCTGTCGTAATGCCGAAATACCCTCCTGTAGTGCTTACGGTTTTGAGGTGGAAATACACATCTACAGTTTGGCATGTGATCGATTGAATGTTGACAGTGAAAAGCTAACTTTTTATTCCAAATTTGTCTAACTCCTTCTTGTGTGAGCTTTCGATACCATTATCCCCACCCCACCCCCACCCCCCTATTTTTTTCACGTGTGAGTGTTGTATTACCAGGTTTCGTTGACCAGGCAGTGTTGGATAAACTCACGCGAGTAGTTTCCACACCAGCAGAGCAGCCTTTTGTGCATGCTTTCTAGTTGTGCAATCTTTTTCTTATAAGCCTATATATGTACTTAAATCTCTATCTTTCTTTATGTTTTTTGAACGCTTGCCCAAAAGATGGTGACAAGGTTTTATCTCCAGACAAGAGGTCACACACAAAAGTTCAGCTGCCTCGTTCTTACCGTTAGATCTTTTCTACGACTATACATGAATCAGGTAAATGAAATGGTAACTAAATCCTCGTCGGTTCCTACAAAAGCAAATTTTCAGATTTGATCCTGCTACGAATCAGTGGTCGGATGACGTCGCTCCAACCATTTCGACACACTATACATGTAGTTTAGCCGTACTTGACAACTCTCTTTACGCAGTCGGTGGAACTGACACTTATGACATTAATATGGGTGTCGAACGGTGAGGGCTTGTGACCGAGGGCCGTATTCAATCCTTCCCCCAGGGGATATATCCCCCTCCTCTGATTCAATCCTCTGGGGGGACAAAAAAGGGTTGCGTCATAGGACCGCATACCTCTGTGTTTCTACCTGCCAGACAGTTAGAGCAGCGCGACCCCTCAGGGAAAAGAGTGCTTCATCAGTGGAGGGTAGTCGCGCTGCTCTAACTGTCTGGCAGGTAGAAACACAGAGGTATGCTAGGTCCTATGACGCAACCCTTTTTTGTCCCCCCGAGGATTGAATCAGAGGGGGACGCATCCCTCGGGGGAGGATTGAATACGGCCCCAATCCAGCTCATGTTCTTATGTGTATCGTTGCTAGGTATGACGTCCGACGAAACGAATGGAAGTACGTGGGAAACATGCAAGAAGCTCGAGCCGGGGCTGCTGTCTCCGTGCTTAATGGTTGTTTATACGCTCTTGGAGGACATGATGAACGAACAGAATGGAATACTGTGGAGAGGTAAGCTCTTTTCAAATCAGAGAATTTTCTTCTGAAATGTCATGATTTGACTTCATATCATATCGCATGCGAAAGAAATTTACTTACTTTACGAAGGAATATGATTCGCTACCATATTCCCGTATTTTCATCGCAGAATTCATGAATTGAAGGCCTGCAAAATGGGAGATCCAATCGACGAAAATTACTATTTTTCCCATGAGAAATCGACCAGTGATATACCCCCTACTATCTTTTACTCGATTACGACCTTGAACATTCCGCTATCAGGCTTTCAAATTTGTTTTTTTTTCCTCCGGAATTCGATAGTTAAGCACAATCTCTTCGAACCTCGACCCGAAAATTTTTACAGCAGAGGAGCTGAAAAACTAGTGGAACTTAAAGGCAAAGGTCGGGCTCAGGCACGCTAGAGAAGTAATTCCCGTGCCTGGAGGTTGTATGTGGGTAGCTGCACACATTGCAGCAACTTCCCACAGTTTGAAGTGAAGTTTGAAGTGCATGCCTGATTGATTTTGTCAGGTTTCCTCCACAACGTAATAGTGGACTGTTTAGGAGAGGTCGTGACTATGTAGAGGAGAACATTCATCAACTACTCCTCAGAGAAAATAGAAAAGAGCTAGTTGTTAGTTCGAC